AAAGACAGTAGAAGATGAAGTATACCCAATTACATGCTTGACTGGGGTACCTTAATTTCCATTGCTTTAAATAAAATTGAATGAGCCTCCACACATTCCCTCCCAGGCTTGCTCCACGGATCCTGTGCCTGGGTATGTTGCTGCTGCAGGAAAGTAGATACTTTTGTGACTCCAACTCTCATTACACAAAGGACTTATTTTTCTACTTCACAGCAAAGGAATTTCATGGTTTAGTCCAGCTGATGGGATGGACCAGATGGGCAACAAAAAAACCACACAAAGGAATCACTTTCTTCTGTGAAGTCAGCATAACAAAAGCAATTCAACCTTATCATGCAACTCTCTCTCCACCTCACACAGGTGACTTGCAGAGCAAGTTTTGGTATTTGCCTTTCTATACACAGAGACATGTTTGTGGGTGAAAATCTTGAGGAAGATTAAAGGGGACTTAAATCAGTCGAAATGTGAGAAATGCCAGAAAAACTGCCTTCCTTGACAATATGAAATGGGAAGGAGGAGGGGTGGAAAGAAGCAATAGACTCTGAGAGGCCCATCAACAGGGCTCTTTTTCTGCCTTTGCTAGGATGTGAATGGAAGGCAAAACATTTATCCCTTTTTGCATAGAAAGACCACATTGCATTTCCCTTTCCTCAGTAGCCTTTAGCAAGCATCAAGCCCAAGGCAAGGCAGAAGCTTTTGACAGTCCTATCCCTACACTTTAGTTTAGCGGGAGGCAACAGAGCAACATGCACATCTGGGCAACAATGAGGACCCTCCAGCAGAAAAGGCAAAGGTAAAAACAGTCCTCTTCCCTTTGGGCACAAAAAATTACCGTGTTAACCTCTAGTAAATAGCTTCAGGCTTCTAGTCCCCTGAAAAGGCATTCAACAAGCTCCAAGGGCATCCACCTAGGGACCTACAATATCAACAGCTGAAGACTGCACAGTGCTAGTGTCTTCTACTGCACTACTAGGCACAACCTTGGCACAGCCCAACAGACATCCTACCATGAAGCATGACATATACTTGATTATCATGTTTAGGAAGGCACATACCTGTGTCCCAGGGGGCTTCGGAAGCAGAGGGAAAGCGCTATTGTCTTCATCATAAAGTTTCCATATCTGAAGGAACGTCAGGAAAAGATAGAGCACTGGAGGCATGGCTGTATTCATCCCTGAGTCAGAAAGCAATTGACAATTCCCATTTCTTAGGTGCCAGAGGAATAAAACATCCTTAGCTCTCCCTTCTAAATACTGCTGTTCGGAAAAGCCTTTCATAGTCTGACCAGGAGAAAAAGCTGTCTGAAAATTAGAAAGTGCCTTTTTTTTAAAAAAAAATCTCAGGAGTTAACCCAAAACTTGGGATTCTGTCAGAAACTCACGCTCCTCATTCTCCATGTTTACATAGTCATAGCTTTTCCCCCCTGAAAGTCTACTGATAAGTGCATACGGAACAGTTAAGAATTCAGAATGACTACATGGATGACCTCTGGCATGGAAGTTGGATTTTACAGTATTTGTTCTGCAGCATTTACAAGAAATAATTACTCACATGAATATTTACAGAAGCTCTTCACATGCTGCTGCAGGCAAATCACAACGTCACGTTTATACAATGTCAGAATGCTTGGTACGTGCCTGTGCCTTTCACAGGTCATGGAATTAATTCCATTCCTTCTTAAGTGCTTCCAAAGTCTTTTAAGTTTTTTGGATATTTTAAGTATTTTGGATATTTTCCTTCTCCAGTGTTTGGTTACACTGTGAACATTTACTAATTTCAGTCCTGCTTTGTAAACTCAGAGCCTGAAGATTCCCAAATCACTTCTTACTCAGAGTTTCCTCCTGAACCGAGACTCTTCTCATCACCAGTTAATGGTGTTGTTAAAGTCATCATACTTAATTCTCCCTCTTAGTCATCTCTACTTTTGGGGGCCTGCCAGGTCCATGAACAGGCCGTGTTCCTCATTATTATTTTAAGCAGACTTCAGCTCAGGCTGTCACCAGAGAAAAAAGCCCTGAATTCCCTACCTTGGTTCCCAGCTGTGCTTTCCTGCCTGTGTATTTCCTTGCTGCCCTGGGCAGCAGGTACATGGCACAGGGGAACAGAGATGGCCAAATCCATTTCAGACAGGTCAATTCAGCACACCTTCTGCTCTGGCCCACTGTGTGGCTGCAGGGATTGCTACCTTTTGCAGCTATTGTTGCTTATCTTGAAGTCAGTTACCAACACTGTTTAATTTTACTCCTCACTTCCAAAGGATTGTCCTGCTCCTGCTAGCTGTATATCATTTAAACGAAAGACACTAAATCCCCATTCTTTACTACCTGAGGTAGTCACCTATGTAGTACTAAAAACTATAAAACTTTATTTAATACAACTATTGCGAGTATATAAATCATCACCTTCTCATTATGGACTTGGGAAGTGCAGAATTGTTTCAAGCTGCAAACACCCCTACTGAACATGTTTTGAGAACACAGCTTTCACCAAAACTTCACTTCAGTTTCAGCCACAAAAAAAATAACAGGTTGCATCCTACCCAGCATCACACTAAGATTAATCCTCCATTTCGGCTCCCTGCTGTATGAAGACTCCGAGCTGTGCAGAGGTGTGCTTCAGAACTGCCCCTCGGGAGTCCTCCTGACTGAACAGACACACTGACACGCGTTGTACAGAAGTATGCAGCCACGCACATACCAGTGCTGGTATTTTCTGAACTGTCTTTTATTCAGAGAGAGACAGGTCTCACTCCATTCCTTTCCCCTCATGTTTCATTAGATTAGCTACAGATTTTGCTCTAGCCTGGCTGCAAGTTCTGTTTTCACCAAACACATCTTTAGACACTCCCTATTCCACTTCAGCTACACAAACACCCTCTAACCTAGCACTCACGGCCTAGTCACTGTAAGAAACTATTTCCTGCCGCTCCAACAGGTTGAGATATTTTTAGTTGAAATTTAATACGCATACCTGTGGCAGGTGAGGCACCAGTGAGACTGTGGGTGTGGTGAGACCTCTGCTTTTCTAGTGCCAAGTGTTTCTACAGCTTGTCATTCCAAACCAAGGGACGTGGCCAGCTATCCAGGAGTCACTCCTCTCAAGGAGGCTCTAGACCTTTTCATGAGGAGCAATTCCACTTCTCTCCTCTGTTATTCTTGCAACTGCAGAGAAGAGTTGAAGAATCTCTCATCCCCTGTTACAGCTTTCCACACAGGAAAGGACACAGAAACCCTACCAGTCTATTACATAGCTGGGAGAAAGACCGAGATTTCCAGAGACCTAGGAGCCTCAGATGGATTTAATCTTCATTTGCTGACAGCAGGACCAACATTGTCCCGATTGTGAAGGGTAAGGAAGGACAGAGGACCAGTCAGGAATGTTCCCTTGCTCCATAGGGAATGAGCATTTGCATATCCACCCATGTGCTCACTCATTGTAGGGCAGTTTCCTTTTACTGTGGTGATCCTTACCGAAGGGCCCTGTAGAATTAACATGTTCTCATTACTGGGCTTCCAACCCTGACTCTGCACTAGAACCCACTGAAGATGCACACTCTCCTCCTGCCTTATAAGAGTGTTCTTAGCAGTCATCATACCCAAGATCTGTACCCTTACATATCTGCCACTCAGACTACTTTAGAGCTATCAAACTTGTGAGTTTCTGAGTAAATTGCTATTAAAAAAAAAGACAAAGTGCAAACACTCACACTCTTCTCACACTAGATTGTTTCTCATGAAGACAACAGAGCTGTTTTAAATAAAACCAGATTCTCTTTAGTTTTAACCACACTGTGTTTTTTTCTTGTAATTCTGCAAAACATGCTGCTCCAAACAAAAGTATAAGAGCATTCTGACTAGCACACGTGTATATTACGTTTGTGTTGATGCTATGAAGTAACTGTTGTGCTCATCTTGACTACTACAGTAGTTTCTGCTTTCCATTTAGATCTAAACCAGAATCTTTTTCATATTTTTTTCAGGTAGCAGAAAATCTAGTTTATGAGTGATAAATGAAGGAGTTTCTCACTCTTCTCTGTCTACCAGCAGAAATATCCAGTGTGAAAACTCTTTATTGCCAATGGAAACTAGCACTAACCTTATGATTTGACATAAAGATAGGTAAATTTATCCCATTCTTGCAGGAATCTAATTATACAGCAGAGGATTCTGCACAAGACAGAGAAGTAAATAGGGAAACACACAAAGAGCCGCCGCGACACCCGTTGTCCTTCGCCGCGCAGATCACGAGCGGCTTTCCTTATAAACCAGCACCCCCTTGTGCTGGTTTATAAGTACTACAAGAACCAGCCACAACTAAAACCCCAGACCTTGATCTTGCCAATCATTACAGATTCTGCATCCAATTCCAGGCAGCGAATAGCCTACTCCTACTGAAACAGGCTCTCTCTGTGCTGTGTCACTCTTCAGCTGACACATCGAGCTTATCGATGTCACATCTGAATCGCTAAGATTGCCCTAAGAAGAAAACCTCCTGGCAAGAGCTGACATACTCAAAGTGATCAGGTCAGTGATAAGACAAGAAAAACCAGGTAGCTTTAAATTTCAGTGAAATATATTTGGGAGTTCTTGAAGTCACATGTCCCCTCACTAATGCAAAATCATCACAGCTGCTTCTTTTAACTTCTTCCTCTCCTGAGCCCAGATACACTCAATGAGTTTTGGGTAGGAAGACAGGCTGCAGCAGTGGGAGTGCTGCACTCATACTGCACCTTTTAGTGAACAAGCAGGACTACAGCTGGTCCTACTTTCAGGTCCAGAAGTGATGGTCTGGTGTTTTTGAATGGAAGACTGGTTCCACGATACCACGATGGGTCAAGCTCAGTCTGTAACTGCTGAAGCAGTAGTTGTTTTCCAGGTGGACTGCCTGGTTTCGTAAGTACTTCTGAAAACAAATCGCCGGCAAAGGGCTTGGAAGACTGCTTTTGCCAAGCTCATGTAGCCATAAAGAGAAAAATACAAGAAGTTTGTCCAAATACTGAACTAGAAGGCTTTTCTTTTCTTCTTTTTCCCACCTGCCACCTTATTCCTGACACCAATAGCTTCTTCTGTGTCATCATCATTATCATTCCGAGATCGCTTCTTCTCTCCCTGCTCCCGCAGCTCCTGCAATGTAATCAAGAGATTGACCAAGAGTTCTGGCACCTGAAGAAATGCAGGCTACAACAGTGAGTAAAGGGACACCCACCATTCGAGCAATTCTCTGAGCCTCAGCCACACGCTCTGTCAGCATCATAACTTCTTCTTCTTGCATAGGGAATGCTGGCAGCTTCTTGCCAATCAGGTGTTCAATGCGCTGGAACAGCTCTACATCATACCTGAGAAAAGACAAGGCACCAGCTTGAATCAGCCCTCCCAGGAGGACTTCAGCTGTCACCACCCACAGACACCACTTCTTATGAACAGCTATTGTTCACTTGTGCTGATGGTCTCACAAGCAACTTTTAACTGCACCTGAATGAAGCTATAGTTCAGAATGGCTTCACAGATTTATTCACCTTAACTCTGCTCAGAAATATCTGACAAATACTTTTCTAAGACAAACACTTCCCAATTTAGCAAAAACACACTTAAGTTGCATTATACAGTATATAAATGTATGTATAGTATACAATCAAATTATAAACAGTTAGTTCTACTTATTACATACCTACATACCTGCTTCTAAAACTTCACCAGACTTTTCTCCCTTCCTACCCTGGGCTTTGAATTCTTACCTCTTTAAATAAATGCAACTGGCACTTCAAAATGAAAAGCAGTATTTTCTCCTCACCCAGGATGAGGTCAGATGTTTTCTGCTCTTAAACACAGCTGGGAAGAATAAGTCTGCCATATTTTAACACTTACTGTGTGACAAAGGTGATAGATTTGCCAGATCTCCCAGCTCGAGCTGTTCTCCCAACACGATGAATGTAATCCTGAAAACAATTCTCCTGATCAGCAACAAGATATGTGCAAATAACACAGAACAGAAGCTATCTGAAATCAGCCCAATTCTTCAGGAAGAATAGGAAAATAGGGAGAAAATACAGCCTGGATTAAGTACTCAGGACCATGTGCAGCATTAGCATTTGAGAAGATACTACCTTGTGAAGGTATATCTTCGGTTTAAACATTTGAATTCTCTTTCTGAAGAAGACAACCACCTTTAATTATTCAAGACTGCAGGACAAAAGTTGTGATACATGACTTTCCTAATGAACTATCGCTTCCTCAGAACGCTAATATTTCAAGTGAGCCAGTGCCTGCATTTTCACTTTTGAGATATAGTGCTCTATGTAGTCTGTCTTCCAGACAAACTCTGTCAAGTAGATCTAAATTTGGCAAGCACAGAGGAAGGGATGAGGAATGAGAGTAATTTGGAAGCATCTGATTTATTGAGTATCTTCTGTTTATATGGTTCTAGGCTGTTTTCCAGGTTTTATACTGCCTTATGGAAATTAAAATACTCCCTTCTCCATGCAGGATCTGTGGACATAGGAAGCATCATGAGAAATGATGTGTTCTGCAACGTGGTTAGAAGAGAGAAGACAAGATGGGGTGGGGGGGCACAAAAATTGTAACAACAGTTACAGTGCTACCCCCACCATTATTTTAACTTTTGTCCTTTTACAAGGTCAAAATCAGCATCTTCGAAAAAACTCCCATACTTTCTTCTGTCCACAATGTGTTGTATCTTTGATCATTATAAGGAACAATAGCGATTCCTGAACTGCATGTTAATAGGTATCGCCTGGTATGAAACCAGGCCAGGAAACAAAGTCACACCCCTAAAATAACACTATACTTCCCACAGAGAGTTAGTGACTCACTTTTTTCCCCCAAGTTTGCTGTACTTGTGTGATATGAAGGTGAAACATACTAAAGACATTTTTCTTGATCAAATAGTCATTGAACATAATGGGAGAATTTTTACCTTTTTGGTTTTTTAAACATGGTTTAAAATGTGAAGGTAGACCTGGACCACAGGAACAGAGGTGACTACCTGAAACTACTAATATGTTAAAACTGTTTTCAAAGTCTAGAAGTCCTTTAATGTAATACAGCAAAGCACATACTCCAAGCAGAAATACAAAGACATAGAACATCCCTTACTTCCCCGCTTCACTTACGGCATCAGTTCTACAATCCAGATGAGGCCACCCAATCAAACTGAGAAACCCACCCAATTGCAGGGGTTGAACTCCATCTTTTAATCTACAGAACTGCGAACTACACTTCCAGTCAGCAGAACAGAGAAAAGGTGTCTTTGTTCCTTTGTCTAGCTTCACTATGCCTCCTGGTGACCAGAAGCTCTCAGCTGGCTTACCTTAGAGTGTGTGGGAATATCAAAGTTTATCACCACATCTACATGTGGGATGTCCAGACCTCTGCTTGCAACATCAGTAGCCAGTAGAATAGAACGTGCTTTTGCCTTGAATTTGTTTAGAGAGCCCAAGCGTTTATTCTGGAAGAGAGGAGGACAAAAAGGGAATGACAGAATAATGCTCATTCTGGTTAATATGCTCTTGTTGAAACACTGGTACAGAACAGCTGGGGGAGAAACTACTCAAAAAAAACACCAAAAAACCAAACCACAAAACTCACTTCTCTGATTTTTTTTTTTAAATTATTACAGAATCAGTGGTAGCATTCACATTAGCTACACTTCTAGGGATCAGTCCAGTTCACTAGGTGTGAAATATTCCTTCTGCAAGGTAGTTGTGACGCAGTTTGGTTCAGCCTATTTCCCAAGGTTACCTGTTTACTCCATTCTGTGAGGTATGCCCATACCTGACTCATCTGCCCATGGAGAGGAATGGCAGTGAACCCCAGGTTGCGAAGCAGTAGAGCAGTCCTCTGAGTATTGTTACATGTACTACAGAATATCATGAAAGAGTTCCCAGCTAGTTCATTCAAGATATAAACAAGGTAGCTGTCCTGTAAAGAAACAGAGAGAAAAGAATTTTATTGGAGGAGAAAAATAAAGAGAGAGGGGGGAAGAGAGGGG